GAGAGGGAGTCACAGACTGAAACAGGCTCCAGGCTCTGAGCTGGCAGTCAGCACAGAGCCCGACGCGGGGCTCGAACCCACGAACCGCGAGATCATGACCTAAGTGAAAGTCGGACGCTCAACCGACTAAGCCACCCAGGCGCCCCCAAGAGAATCTTTCTTAAGCAGGCTCCATACTCCAGTGGAGCTTAAACGGGGCTTGATCCCATGACCCAGGGATCATGACCTGAGCCAAAATCAAGAGCTGATGCTCAACTAACAGCCACCAAGGCGTCCCTAGTGGTTGAGATTTATCACACCACTAGTTTTACTATTTCACCGAGGCCACTCTTGAGTAAAAGGAGCCTCTCCCCCCACAAGCCGCAGCAATGCCGAAAGCAGCGGCCACTCACGGCACTGCTGCCCTGAAGGACGCTAAGGCACCGGCCGTCTCACCCACTGTCGCTCCTGTACCATCAGCGCAAAGGTCAACAGCAAAAACCGATGACCGTATCTGGTGATGAGAACAGATTTGACCCTGAGGACCCTCTTGAGAACTGCTGCCCTGAAGAACACTCCCCAAGGCCACAGCAGCTTCCAGAACACAGCCGCAGCTCAGGGCGAGGCCATTCTTCTATAACCAGCCCGGAACCGGCCGTTTACAGGCCTTTGAAGCAACATAAAAGCCTGGAGTCCTCAGAACACTTCCTCTGAATCTTCCTCAGAAACACGGAGGGGTGGGGGGTGTGGAGAAGACCAGCAGCAGAGACTGTTAAGTAAGCGTCGCTGTCTGTCCCCAAGCTAGTCCCCGAAGGGAAGGACACGGAGAAAGAGGGCAGCAGGTGCAGGCTCAAGGCAGGCTCAAGGGCAGGGGCAGCCAGGCGGTGCTGGCAGGCAGGACACAGTGGCACCTGAGCTCCGGCTGGTGGGAGACTCAGTTAAGTGTCTTCTCCGAGAACCCAGCGTGGCGGTGACACTGACAGAGGAGCGGAGAGGAGCCACAGGGTGTGACAGAGGAGACAAAGACACAGCTGAAGGTCGGGGCAACTTCATCCTTCACGTTTCCCCCGGTTCGGTCAGGAGGCCTCCGGAGACGAGGAAGTAACCAGCACCCAAACAAGCCGTCCGGAAGGCGCCCGCCACCCCACACCGGGCACAGCCTCAAAACGCACCTCCCCTGCTGAGGTCAGAGGTCAGCCTGCCTGAACTGCACTGACTCTGACAGTCTTATGCCCAAGTCCCTGCAAGGTCGTGTGTCGAGTCAACGGCATCACGAGCCTATACACAGGAACCAGAGCCCCAGCCTCCATCCAGCAACAGGCTTCCAAACCTAGCAGGAGACATCACTGCCCGTGGCCTTCACTTTGCCAGCTGCCTCTGGGACGGGCTAGGTCTCAGAAGGGCGGACCAAGGAGCCCACAGGGTAGATCGGAGCATCCGGGAAGCTGCGGTCGGACAGTGGCCCGTGTCCTCACTCCCGCTTCTGCTCTACTCTGTCCTGGTCCGCTCTGCACTCACACGCAGGGCGGTGCGCTGGTGAGGGGTGGGGGTGGGGGTGCTGTTCCTGAGCGTTCTCTGCAGGGGGGACTTGACCGTGAGAACACGGTGTCCTGACTCTGGAAGTGCTAGAGGTGTAACTGTTTCTCAAAGCACTGAATGAAGTATGCATTTGCAGATTAGCTAAAAGGCAGCCACAGCCTAAGGATCAAGTCAGCAAAAGAACATGGATCAGGACACCCCCGTTCTAACCGGCTCTCTTCCCGTCAAAGGGTTTGTGATGTTTGCTGATAAGAAATGGGTGCTTTCTCAACAGTCTGTTGTCCTCAGGAGGAGAGCCCTGGTGTGCTGATGGGACCGCTCTCTGCCGAAGAAGTCCCATGCTGTCACCTGGTGGAAAAAACGAGAAACTGCCTCGTGTGTGTCCCCGGTGATGACAAGAGCATTCCTGTCCTATAGCTTCCCTTCACCACAGATGCTTGCGTGGCTTGCGTGGGGACAATCCCCACCCCATCTTGGGCATCACCTCCTGTGCTCTCCACCCCAGGCAGGATACCTGATGAAGGGCTCAGGGAATAAAGGGTTACAGACGCTATTCACCACCATGGTCACCCCCAAGTCCCTTGAGAGCTGGGCACAGGAGGAGGAGAGGCAGTCAGAGGGGTCAGGATGGTGCAGGATGATGGAGAAAGGGGGAAAGGAGCCGGTGAGGATGGGCCAGAGGGATCCACAGAGGAGAAACGCGAGGTGAAGAAGGAAAAAACTCATCAACTAAAAGACACTGCCCTCGGAATTTTTACACATTTTCAGCCAAGGAGTAAAAAACACAAATCCCCAAATACTGAAATGTATCAAGATGAAAAATTCAAATGTCTCATCTCAATACATGAAAAAAATTTTTTAATTAGAAAAAAATTTTTTTTAGTACTGTCCATACCCGACACAGGGCTCAAACCCACAACCCTGGGATCAGAAGTTGTGTGCCCCTGGCCAAGCCAGCGAGGCGCCCTCGATATGTTAAAATGAAGACAACGACCAATCTGTTTTTATAAAAATAATAACAAAGCCACCTTTTGATGTCACAGAAAAGGAAGAAAAAGACAAGGTTGTCCCCAAAGAATGGTTATTCCCAGAAGGTGAGCTTTCATTTTCTACTTTGGGTTTTCCTGTCTATAGCAGGTGCTTTAGGAAGATTCTACTTTGCGTTTGGTTTCCTGTAATCTCCCTGCCCCCCCACTCCAAGAAGGCAGGACAGCTCAGGGGAAGGCTCTGCGGCCAGGCTGAAAGCAACACGTTTGTGCAGAGTTCAAGCTGAAACTCACTGGCGAGAATCTGTCCCGCAAGGAGAAGGGAACTGAGTTTCTTTGAAGAAAAAGGGGGAAACAAGGGCTATTCCCCGGGACTAGAAAGGAAACACGAGCTGGCAGGTTGTGCAAGTGGAGGCTGGACTCAGCCCTGACCAGGGCTCCCAGCCAGGGCAGGACCCCCGCACACTGGGCCGCCCAGAGCCAGAGCGCTACGCTGCCGGAGGGCGGGAGTCCCCCCAGCAACCTCTGGGGGGTGCAAACCAGGGGTCACAGACACCCCCGAGGGCTGTGCTCTACAGAAGAACCCTGGTGTCTTTCGGGCATGGTGCAGAGCCCTGAACTAGTTCAAGTTAAAATAACATGGTGTTAAATGTAAGTCAAGTATGAAGTAAGATTTGTACCTATTACTTGCTCACCAATTTTCTTAAGATGAACCCACGTTACATTTATAATTAAAAAACAAAAAAAAAAAACCAAAAAAACAAAAAAACACAGGCCAGTGACGAAACTTTATAAACACCACAGATTGTGATTTCCTGGGCCCGGAGGCCACTCCAAGCACTGAGAAAGCACTGCTCCGAGGCCCCGTGGTGCCACCGCGGCCTGGGGTAGGGCGATATTCACCTATGCTCAGAATTACGCAAAACATGTTCTCTGTGGCTTCTTTTCTTAGAAGGCATGGTTAGAAAAACAAAGAGATCCAGAAGGCTCTAATGGCACAACCGTTTAAAACCAGAGAGCTTCAGAGCCTCTCTTTGGCATCAGCCTCCTCTTAAATTAATACTGACACATCTATTTTGAAAGCGTGTAAAATCAGCAGGAAGGGGTGCTTTACACGTAGCTGTCCCCAATCCATCATACCTCCTGTTCTCACAACGAGGTGCTATCCGGTCCTTCCCAGACAGGATTTTTCTCTTCCTGACTCAGTTTGGAGAAGGTGAAAATCACGCTCACGGGTGGAAACGCGATGAATCATCTCACTAAGCAGCGATCACCCCTAAGCCTCCTTACACAATCGATTCCTGCGAAGTTCACCACCTGCCTCTCCAGCAAACCAACCCCCACGGCTCTCCTAGGGCCCCCCGGGCGCCCCCAGCCTCCCCGCCTCCCGGCAGCGCCCAGGGAAGGGGCACCAGGGAGCACAAGGGAACTTGCCTTTTCCATCTGTGGCTGATGCTTCTTGTAAATGCCTGATTGACCTAAAAACAAACACGTGGAAAACAAAAGGTTAGCTCACAGGTCTGCACTCTTCTCTAGGTCCAATGCTAGCAACTCAAGGCCTTGAATTCCTTAGTCATAAGCTGGAGGGCTGGACCGGACGGGTTCAGAGCAGTCTCCCAAACCCACATGACCTTTGCTAACCAGCACCCCGTTGCGTATGGCGCTCCAGCCAGAGGGTTCAGGATGCCCCCAAATGGCTGAGAAAGGTCTGCCGGGCGCCTGGGTATAAGGAGAAAGAGCAAAACGCAATCATTTCAACACTCTTGATCTCCCTCTCCACCTAAAATCTCTCACTTCCCCAACCACCTCGCTCCACAACACCGAGGTAGAGCGCACCTGCCACCCAGAGAACATGGATTCCCCATCCCCTCACCCTCCACCCCCGGAGGCTGGAGGCAGATTTCTAAAGTCTAAGTCCAGGAGCCTGTGAGCATGGGGCTTCCTGCAAACTTGGCATTTTGCTATCTGGAGATCTGGAATCCCGCTGCAAAGTGGCAGCCTCCAGGGAGTGCTTTTTTCCTGCTTCGAGGTGCCAGGCAGCTAATTATTGTCGCTGCAGTTCAGATGGGAGAACACGAATGTTACTAAAGGGGCTGCGGGAAAAGGATGTGAGCGGCACGGGCAGATTTGGCCGGGGGAGGGGGGCGGGGCTCACTTGGACACGGAGGGGAGGCGGATCTTCTCCTAGGGCCCCGCCCCCTGCCCACCTGGGAGCACCGAATGGCATAACGCTCAGAAGCGAGCGGGCACAGCGCTGGCGCCGAGCCCATGCCGGCCCGGTCTGAAGGCGTCAAAAGCCATCGATCCTGTTCCTTGAGCTACGTCTAGCGCCTGATGCTTTACATCAACTTTAGCAATATTCACTCCCGAGAATCTTGCCGCGTGGCATCTGCTGCTTTGTGCCACCACGAACAAGGGGAGGGGAATGGCCACGTGGAGCCCTACTGCTCGCCTGCATCTTCCCCAAAGCCCCGGGGTCCCTTCTTTTTGCTGAAACTGGCAGATGGAAGAGCATGGCTTGCACTGTGTTCCTGCACAGTGAGGCGCTTCTTTCTATCCGAAGTCGGCGCTGGTGATCGATCCTGTTACAGACACCTGAGCTAGCTGTCCCTGGGCACGACTCGGGAAGGTGGGGGAGATTAGAAAAACTCCTCCTCTGCCTTCTGGAAGCCACTGGCTGCGCTGATGTATGTGCAACATCTCATGCACGATGGATAAGGGTCAAGGGTGAGTGCAGCCCGCTGGAATGAGGGTTACACTCCAGTGGTACCATGTTCTAAATGATCAGAATAACTGAACCGCCTGATAAACCCCAGAATCCTGAAAGATAGTTTACTGCAGGGTGGACCACTTTGCCTTTAACATAACACAGGTAAATCTGCTTTTAAAGACTTTATTCTAAAAGGAGTAACCGCTTTCAAACAGTCATGGGACTGGATCACCGTTAAGAGCATTTTACCTTTGCTGGCCTTCTTTCCTTGACTTGCTTCTGACCGAACCAATGATTTCTTTCACTCAGTGTAAGACTTAATGAGAATTTCTTCTCTCAACCACCACTGACTCAGCACTGACACTGCTTTGCACATCATCAAAGCACAGTGCGTGCCTCCCAAGCCTGCCATTCGGAAGATCTCTGACCTGTTCACGTGCTGCGAACGCTCACTAGTTTATGTTAATGCACTTCCTCCCCTTCCACCTAACTGGCAGGCAAGGACTCTTTACGGGATTTCTGCAACTCTCCTCCCTCCAAATCCATGCTGCTATTATGCTGCTACTGAGTACTCATTTCCAGACTCTTCTCTGTTATCTAAACTGGGCTAAAAGGCTAGGGGCCGGATGTGCTGCGCTGGAATCCACAGAGGCACTGGATCAAGTCCCGAGTTCCGGGCTCCTGCTTCTGGATGCTGACTCTGATCGGCTTGGGGACCCAGGTAGCTGACACTGTTAAGCCGAGGCCCCGTGACAATCGGACCGGCTTTGGAACGGCGGATTCGGGGGTCTGGACCTGCCTGACACACGAGCCCTGGAGCGCACGGAGGCCCCCTGCCCGCGGTACTCACCACACCACTGGGAAGAGGATGGCCCCGCAGCACAGCAGGTCTACCAGAAACAGAGAATCCTTCCACAGGCCGTACTCCGTCGTCCCCTCCTCGGTGGACTCGATGATGATGTAGGCCACGTTCGCCAGGACCTACGGGACACGAGGAGTGGCTGAGGCCCTGAAGCGAGGCCGGGCCTGTACGGCTGCAGCCCCGAGAGCAGGTGGACACGTTGGTCTGTGGGCCCCTGACCATGGCCACGGCCTTCTCCCCAGGGCCACACGCTTTCCCAAACACTGCACGCTCTCATCCAGGAGCGGTGTCTGCGCCCTCCTGCCGAGTGAGCGACAGCCCTAAGCCACAATCAGGTGCACGCGAGGCCGTGTGATTTCTGAGGAGGGTGGGACACAGGACGCGGTCTCCAGCTGGCCCGCTCGCAGGAAGCCTGGCTACCCTGCGGCTGCCAAGCAGGAGAGACCCGGCAGGGAGAGGCCAGGCAGGGAGTGAGGAGTCCCCGCTGCCCTCGCCCGGTCTCACTGCACCCCCCCAACCCCCGCCCAGGAGGTGTGAATACTGAGGTGACCCCAGCTGTGGTCCGACTCACTGCGTGACGCCCCCCGTCGGACCTGCCCAGTGCAGCCATGCCTCAATTCCTGATCCCCAAGAACAGGAGAGGGTCAGTGGCCATCGCTGCTGTCTGCCACTGCATCTGGGGTGATTTGTGACACAGCCCAGACTACTGACCCTCGGCTTTGCTTTTCGGGCCCCCAAGGCGTCAGCAGGGCCACTCGGGGGCCGAACGGGTGGCAGTGCACATCCCGCTCAGCCACGCGCCCAGATTCCTTGGGCCCGGGTTCTCCCTGCGGGGTCACACTGCTCTGGCTCAGGAGTGACTCCACCCAGGTCCCCTGCACACGGGACGTGGCTCGGCTCTTCCTCCTGAGGCGAGCCCGCTCCACTTGGCCTCGGGGATCTGGTCCTGGAACCAGTGGCCGCGAGAGGCCCCAGGGCCTGGCTGGACCGGGGCCTACGAGAGGCTCCAGACACTTCTAGCAGGGGTGGGCACACAGGTCACGAGGCCACGGTCCCAACCTCTGCCCGCCTGCTGTAAAGGTCACTCCGCATGCTCTGACAAAGGACGTAACATCCATCACGCTGCTATTCGGGACGTCTCGAAGCACAGTTTTCTACCTAGGGGCTTTCTGGGAAATGCCCACAGGAGCCACGCTCTACTGGATACAAATGCCAAGTACTCTGAGACTCTGGTCTCCCTGCATCCTACGCGCCGGCACGTGGCCCCACCTAGGAAGACGAAGTGGAAACAAAGGCTCTCTCAGCTTAAGTCCCTGATTCCACTCAGTGCCCTCTCCTGATACACGAAAGAACGTTCCCTGGTGCGGAACAAGGTGCCAAAAGTTCTTCAAAGTCCTTGCGTATGTTCTGTACATCTCTCCCTTCTCACTTGGAGCTGTGCACCGGCTCCCGTGGCCACGAAGAAACAGCTTCAGCTTTCTGGCTGACGTTCAAGGCCTTCCCAGACTAGTCTCTCTGTGTATCGATGCCTAACTTCCCTACATTCAATTCTTTAAACTCCGTTTCCTCGAAGGCATTCTACCACGTAACCTTGCATCCAACCCCCTTGGGGGATGCAAAAGCCAGAAGGTTGAGCCCCATCACACCCCAGCTCGGGTGGAGACGAAGGTCCTCCTGGAGGGATAGTATCAACGGAGGGGGGCGGGGGGGGGGAGGCATGCGTGGGGCAAGGGGCCGGGGGAAAGACCTGGGTCCTCTATCACGCGCTCAGATGCACTCGCAGGCCGCAGAACTTGGCCCGGTGCTGGTGAGGTGGCCCTGGGGGGGCCACAGCCAAGCCCCACATGGATCCTCAGCATCTTTGCTCGTGTGGCAGCAGGGCCACCTGCTACGTGTCTTTCCCTAAATCTCCAGGCAAGGCCCTTCTCTGCCTACAAGCCTCCCAGACAATTCAAATTTGGGCGAGGAGTCTCTCCTGGGAAACCCACAGCAACTGGCCTGCATCATTCATTTGGCGCTAAGGTAGGTCCCACGTCACCGACGCAAAAGTGGCTCTGTGGTGAACAATGCCAGACTTCGGTCACCAGGGAGAGAAGGCTGGCCTGGAGCCCGGGGAGGTGTCCCCTCCCTCCCCCCACCTGCCACATCCACGCCATTCCCCCCAGGGAGACCCACCGCGGAGGACGATTTCATCAAACACAAGCTCTTCGTTCAAACAGAACAGAGCAGCCCCGCACCCCTGCTGAGCAGGTTCTCCACGCCCCGTGTCTGCCTCCAATAAAACCAGTACGTAGACGACAAGGTTCCTCCCCGAAGGGGCTCACAACCTGGGACGGCTGGCTGCGGCCCACGGTCCCCAACCAGCAAGGGATGGATAGACAGCCGCCCTAATGTCTACTCCGTATTCTACCTTGTGAAAACTCACCGGTGTCATTCACGGCTTTAAAAATAATTTGTGAGTAAAATCACTGTGTGCCTGAGGGCGGCTATGAGGGCCACTGTGCTGGAGGGGTCCAGGCGCAGGAAGGCAGGTGGCACCTTCCCAGACTTTCCAGAGCCTCCCTACTCGAGGTGCAGGCGTCCACACGCTGCTTGCCCGGGGACTGACAGCAGACAGCTCTTGGGGCAAGGACGCGAGGCCCGGGGCAGCCGGACGGCAGAGAGAGAACGGCCGGGGGCAAAGCTGGGGTTCAAGGTGAGCCAACGCCCTCCTCCTGGGCAGGCCGGGAGCCGAGCCCCGAGAAGCACCAGGACACAACCAGGACACGCAGGACTCGGGTCCCTTTACCTGGAGTGGGATGACGATCATGAAGATCTTCTTATCTTTATCAGAGAGGATGTGCTTAATGAAAGCCCAGCCGGTCCCGATGAGTGCGATCGTGATGAACAGCAGCGCCCCCTTCAAACTGGAAAAGAAAGAATTTCAGATGCCGACGGTCTCCCCAGACTTCCTCTGCCGGTCCCACCGCACAGCTCACTCATGACTTCCTGTGCAACTTGGAAAAGAGAGGGGACCACATTCAGGAACCACCTCTGGAGCGAAGCAGCGCACAGTCTGTTCTGCACCCCATACCCCCCTACCCGAGCGGCTCATCTCCCGAGGAGGCAAGCCCCTCCCGGGAGCAGGCCAGCCGCCTACAGGCCACACCCCCCGTAGTGCGGCAGGAAGCCAGAGAGGCTGCTGCGGGGAGGCCAGGGCTCTCCCCCACCAACCCTTCCACAGCCCCCCAGCTTCTCCTACGCGTCAACCCATGTTCATGGGTCCCTCTGTGGACTCACAGGTGAGTGATGTAGTACACGACAGCCCAGCCCTCGATCGGAAAGCCCTGGGAGGAGATGTAGTGATAGTCGATCTGCAACCAGACAAGCGCATGTCAGAAAAGTCCACCCAGCACATGCCTGATGTGCACAGTCAAACAGGAAATGCCACCAAGGTCCTCATGACGGGGGATGTCCCCTCCACCCCACGCCGATCCCTCACTTGTCCGTGCACAGAGAAGCATGTAAGTGCGCTAACGCCAGGAAGCGTGAGACACCGGCCGCGGGGTTTCACCACCACCAGCACGCAGGCCAGGTCCCTCTCCTGGGGCAGGTGATTCACGGGGGCAAAAGGCTGCCTGTTCTGGTCTTTAAAGTCTCCACCGTCCAAAGGCCACAGGTCTTTCAGTTTCCCAGCCAAGAACGTCCCCTGACAGACCCTGGTTGCTTATTACAGAAGTTAGCCAGTCAGCAAAAACAAAACAAAACAAACAAAAAAAACAAAACAAAAAAACCCCACATGGTTCAACTGCTTTTGTTTTTTTTGAAAACCTGTGAACTCAGAGCTACTTAAAGCCAACAATGCCTGTGACTTAAAGCGGCAAGTTTCAGAGATGCCTGAAGGGCTCAGTCGGTTAAGCATCTGACTCTTGCTTTTGGCTCAGGTTATGATCTCACGGTTCGTGAGAGCGAGCCCCACATCGGGCTCTGCGCTGTTAGCAATTCTTGGGATTCTCTCTCCCTCTCTCTCTGCCCCCTTCCCAGCTGGCGCGGGCATGCTCGCTCTCGCTCGCTCTCTCTCAAAAATAAATAAATGGCATTAAAAAAATACAATAAATAAATAAAGTGGCAGCTTTCAAAGCGCACCCAAAATGCTTTCTGTCACAGGTCACAAACGCTGATGTCAACTGCGTCGTTCTATCACAAACGGCTACCTGGATGTTACAGTAACTCAAGGTTCCTGCCATTCATCACCTACAAGGTTCCGGAAAGAATCTTTTAACTTAGGTCCCAATGGGAAATCATCCAGACCACCGTCATTTCTAGAGACTCGAAGCGGACCCATCATGACTCCTCCTCCCTCCGACGCCTGTCGGTGCAGGAGAGCAAGGGCCTGGGCGCTGTCTCCCTCACAGGTGCGGCCGTGGGAGCCTCGGGCCGGCGCCCCCGGCAGGTGGCAGCAGGCTGGCCTCAGCTCACGCCTGGACTAACCAAGCCAAGTGCCAGCTTGAGTCACACGCCTCAATACTCGGAGCACCGCCTCCCCTTGAATGAGTATGCCAACGCTGGGCTTCGAATCGAATGGGAACACGGAAAGATACTCAGAAAAATTAAGTCGTGGAAGAATTCAGCAGGTGGCACTCTCATCTCAAGAAAGGACTTAAAACAAACAAACAAAAAAAAACGGAAGGAAAATGAGTAAGTGCTCTGGGAAAACTCTGGGTGTGCAGGTGGCATTAGAAGAGGTCTCAGGCCGGGTCAGGGAGGGTGTAATGACTTGTCCCTGTGATGGTCCCTCCTGCACCGAAGGAGGCTTCCTGAGAAAAGGCCTTCTTTCATCTCCCGTGTCCAGTGACCTAGCTCCCCCTCCTTCCTTCCAACTCATCCTTCCTGATTAGAGGCACGCCATCGTTTCACAACTGACCCCAAATACTAATACGTACCGCGTGGAACACCAGGGAAAGAGACTTGGTGAAGGGAAGGGCCGCCATCAACCAGTGGATTTTAAATACGTCGTTCCTGTAAACACAGAAAAGAAAGAATTAAAAGAATGTCCCATTCCTCCAAAGGACGGCCGGAGCCCCAGTCATCAGGTCCATTTACAAGGAAGCAGAAAGTGTGATCCGAGCAAAGCACAAACACAGAGCCTTTTGGAGATGCAGTTTTCGGGAGAAGATCACCCCGATGGGGCCCCCAGAGGCCCCTCAAGCACAGGTCGGAGCTGTGACTGCAGCAGCGTCAGGCACTGAGACCACACAGGATGAGTTCCAGCTCCCGATCAGATGGAAATCTACGCAGCCTGCCAGCCTCGTGCCCAGACGCCACCGTGGAATGGCCTCAGAGGCAAGAATGAGGCGGTGGGATCTACGGAGCTGGTGAGAGGCCCCCGGGGGAGCAGAAGGTGCCCGGGCCCAGCTGTAGGGGTGAGCTGCGGCCCAGAGGGAGGTGGGCCAGGAGCCAGGCAGCAGAGGGAAGGAAGGGAGAGCCCCAGGATGGTGCCCGTCCCACTGCCCTCAGGGCTGGGACGGGGGGGTGGGGGGAAGCGGTGCCCACTCCCACCCCCAGGCCTACATGGGTACTCGCCCACCTTTGGGCCGCCAGCCATTCAATTCCTCTACCCTTTCCCACCTCACCCTGGGAACTGACCGAATGGGACACAAGACGGTTTGGCATACGACAGACGAGGGGCAGCCGCCTGGCTGGAGAACGGACCTCTTACTAACTGGCATAGGGAAAATCCGCCCAATCGTGTGTGTGTGTGTGTGTGTGTGTGTGTGTGTGTGTCCGTCCCCGTCCCTACTTCACACACAAAGGACTCCGGATAGATTTCACTTGTAAACATAACTTACGTCTTTTGTGACCTCGGAGGAGGAAAAGGCTTTTTCCGAGAAGCACTGCCCAAGAGACTACAATGGGAGAGCGGCGACCCCCCTAACGTGGAAGACCTCCAGTCAACCACGCACACCGCGGGCAAGTTTAACGGACTGGGGGGAAGAAATCTGCAATGTCTGACACAAAGGACGGATGTCCAAAATATGCGAGAAACTCACGTAAAACAAGAAAATGACAGAAAACCCCAAGAAACCGTGCAAAACGTACAGGCAGTCACAAGAAGGGGAGCCCAGATGGTTAGGAGTGCCTAGAGAGAGACTTCGCATCCTTAGTGTCGAGAGAAATGCAAAATGAAACCTCCAGTCTCTACCCATCAGACTGGCAAAAAACAAGAGGGCAGCGGTGGTGGGGAGGCAGGAACCCTCCGCGCCGCTGGCAGAACCAGAGGCTGGTGCAGGGCAAGCTGGCGGCGGGCACTTAAGGAAACCGAGTAAGACCTTATGCCCTGCCCAGGGCACCAGCTTCTGGGACTTGCCTCAGAGGTTGCACGGGGCCATGGGGGGGGGTCATGACAACACGGTTTGGGGGAGCAGGGGGATGGAGGCCGAGGGAGGGGCCCCTCACCAAAGGGATGGGTGAATAAAACATGCGCATGCGCACTCAGGAATAGCCCAAACTGAATGAGCTGGACGGACACACAGTGTGACTAGGTCTTTAAAAAGATACTAGTGCGTGAGAAAGGGCGTGAGAACAGTGTCTATAACTAGTGCGGTTTCCACAAGTTACAAACATGCGCAGCATCAACACAAACACACGTACACGCACCCCACACACGCACCCAAGCAGCTGGGAGGGAACGAGAGACAGATCGGGGACGAAGAGGAAATGAAGAACAAGGGCCTGGCACAGACCCATAAGGAGGGTGTGGCACGAGCTGACGCACACTCCCTTTCCAGGCATTTCCTCCCAGGGCCTTCCTGTCTGGTGTCTACCTACTCGAAGGTCAAGGCCAGAGGAGTCCGCCAGTCCTGAATAGCAACGACATGTACCTGGGGCACAGACCCGCCTGCTGCCAAGGCCAGTGCTCGCTCTCCCACCCTGGGCCCCTCGACTAGCAGCCCTGTCCGAAAGGCCGAGGCCGGGGCACTGAGGTTACGGGAAGGGTATGGCCCCAAAACCATGGCTACTTGACTCGAACTCCGGCTCTGCCCTGACACCCTTCACCCCTCTCACCCTCAGGAACCTCTTCTGAAAACGGCGCATCAGCTGCCTTGAGGTGGAAGATGAGCTGAAATAACCCGCATCTGGTGAGTGACTGGGCAGGGAGCAGGCCCCAGAGAACGAGCAGCTGTCCCCACACTCTGGGGCCCACGACACATCTCAGAGAGCGGAAGCGGAGAGGAGCACACGTGCAGGGCAAGGAGGGGAGAGGGTCCTGGTCACAGCTCCGGCAGGCGCCAAGAGCCTGGTGTCCCCTCTCTCCTCTCAGACTTCAGCAAAATGGGGCACAGTCCTTCCGGCCCTCAGGGACCGCGAGCCTTGGCGACGCACGAAGCCCTTGAGGCACATCCTTTATGGGACTCAAACTTCCAACCCAACAGAAGCGTCCGTGAGACTCTCCTAGAAAAGCACGGGGACAGGACTGGGGGGGGTGGGGGGAACGGACGTCACACATGCCTGCATGTAAGCAAATCGGTGATACTGAAGGTCTCGTCGCTAAGTAAACGGAAACTAAAATATCCCGAACACCTGCCTGGCCAGCTATTTGTATGCGCCCCGTATCTGCATGGTGCCCGGATCCGAAAAGCCCTCTGGAGCCCAGGATTTGGGGGCGGGGGAGGGATCCCACACTAGCCTAAGGTCCCAAGACCTGCAGAGGAAGGCAGGGCAATGACCCCGCCCCGGTTTCGTGGCCCAGGGAGTGAAGCGAGACACAGAGCGGGGAGCGGCCCGCATCTGCACTTGGAACCGAGCCCCAGTTCTTACTGTTCCAACTAAGGCAGAATCAGCACTTTATTGAAAAACCTTTCTACAGCCTGAATTTTTCTTATTAACAGCCACCTGACTGTCTACCCCCGACACGTCCGTGCAGGGTCCGTCACAAGTAAACAAGTGGCTCTTTCTATCAAGCCAAATCTCACAACGGGCTGGAACCAGCTCCGCCCCGGCCCCAGCTCGCCAGCCCAACTGAGCACGTCCACCGGAAGACAGCCCCGGGGACTGACGGGGTCTCCGTTCTGCACAAAGCTCCACAGGAGGAGGTATTTGGTATCTGGGATACTTAATTACTGGGTGAATTTAAACGACTCCACATTACAAGGCCACATGCGCATCCTGTCATTGACTCAATTTATAGGCCTTACAATGTAACAAATGCTTCATTCACCCTGTTCTCAAACTGGAAAGTAGTGATTTATTCTGCTTTTTGGGGGGAAGGAGACAGAATCAAACACTGGTCCCACACACGTGCAGCTGCTCCCTTCGAGAACCGAGTACAGGCAGATAAAGCCTCCGGGTTTCAGGAGGGAGGCCAAGAGCTGGGCACATGGATCTTGAAGAAGTTTTCTCCAGCGACAAGTGTCTGGAAGCCCACACCTCTCCCCGGCAGGCTCTGGGCAGCCGGCATGCCATGCTCTCAGCCAGGCTGTGCGTCCCTGTCACTGATCTTCCTTCTCATGAATGAACAGCCCCTGAATGGGATCAACAAACTCACCTGGAGTCCCAGACCAGCGTCTTCACCATGGAAGCACATGCTTATACATTCTGTTTTGCCCATGTATCACTAAAATATTTGGATCTGCTATTTAAACAAAGCAAAACAGGGAGAGAGTCGCCTAGGTGGCTCAGCTGGTTAAGCATCTAACTTCGGCTCAGGTCATGATCTCATGGTTTGTGGGTTCGAGCCCCACGTCGGGCTATATGCTGACAGCTAGCCTGGAGACTGCTTCAGATTCTGTGTCCCCCTCTCGCTCCGCCCCTCCCCCATTCATGCTATCTCTCTCAAAAATAAATAAAAATGTTAAAAGTAACATAAAACAGGGGTGCCTGGGTGGTCAGTTGGTTAAGCTTCTGACTTCGGCTCAGGTCATGATCTCATGGTTTAGAAGTTCGAGCTTTGCATCAGGCTCTGTGCTGACAGCTCAGAGCTTGGATCCTGCTTCAGATTCTGCATCTCCCGCTCTGTCCCTTCCCCACCCTCTCTCTGCTCTCAAAAATAAACATTAAAATAAAATAAAAATAAATAAAATAAAATAAAATAATAAAATAAAGCATAGGGAAGAAAACAGCACGGCACGGCAGGGCCCCTGCACAGTCTCCCCGTCTCAGGGAAGGTGCCCTTGGAGTGGACAAGGCTGCTGGTGCCCGTCCCTCCCAGGCGCAGAAGCAGCTGAAGGTGAAATTATGCACATCTCCACATGCTCAAAGCTGGATGGCTCAAGAAAGTAACAATTTACCGTCGTTTTCGAAGGATGTGAATCCAGACGGTCCCAGAAAGGAAGAAGAAAAAGGCCATAGAGATGTATAATTTAGGGAGCGGGATCTCGCCTGCCGAGAGGTAGCTGTCGGGGTTCTTCTCCGTGATCTCAATCTGAAACGAACAGAACACGAAATTAGTTTTTTTCTTTTTCAAGAGCAGATCATCCCACAGCCCGCGATCGGTCACCTCCGCTGCTCCACTCGGGCCTAAGACAGCACCAGCAGATGACAAGCATGTTCCGCACACACAGGGTAAGGTGAAAGAGCCCCCCAAACTGCTTTGTATTTTCTCCCTTAGGAATCCTCTGCAGATGGGATTCTGGCCATTTTTTTCTCTGACCCTATTTTAAGCATTGTTAAAAGCTACTCTTACAAAGAAATAAACGCCTTGCATGTTTCGTGGCTGACAAAATCCCTGGCAACACCCTGCACGCGGTGTTCACATCAATCCCCAAACAACACCCTGTACGCGGTGCTCACATTAATTCACGTGCAACACCCTGCACGCGGTACTCACATCGAGGCTGAAGGAGAGCTTGTCACTGGACCGCAATTCATTTCCAGAGCATTTGTGAAAATAAAGGCTGTAGAGGCCTTCTTGGTCATCGGTGCTGATGTTAAAGAAAAACTGCAAGTGAAGAGGACAAAACGTGAGAATGCCCGCATCCCCGGCGAGGTGTTTAAACCTTAGGAAGAAATCAGGGATGCCACGGAACAGAAAATAAATACAGACAAATTACCTAATCGAATTCTCCCAGGGCAGAGACTAAACGGGTGCTTTCTTCCTCTGTGATACAGTCTCTGTCCCAGAGCAGGAAAGGGGACAGAACTAGCTGGTGAGGACCTGCATGCCCACTACCCGGGGTCTACAGTCACCGCGTCACCGCCCTTGTTTTGTCACGGACCCCTCGCCCGTGGGAGGGGTGGCTGAGGGCGGCAGGCATGACCACAATGCAGGTCCTGCTTTTCAGTCAACATGTCGTTTTGCTCTTTAGGTAAAAAAACGAAATGAAACAAAACAAACTCCCGAGAACGAGAGGAGGCTCACCGGCTCCTCGGAAAGGCAGAGGGCCAGCAGCCCCTTGTTAAAATGCACACCTGTGATTTCAGACAATCGTGACACAGGCTACATTTTCTACATTTACACACTTTCCTGTTTCTCGCATGTTTCATGTGTTCAAACAAGGTTTGATGTAAATCCAAAGACATTTTGTATGTAAGATCACAAAATGCGACTCGTTGGTCAGAGCATTTTGCTGGAAGCCTACGACAGCTATCAGAGCGACACAGATACCCAATACACCATAAGGAGAAGCGAGCAGCTGACGGGGATGGCATTTCTCAGCACAGCTGGGAAGGATGTGAAGGTCACGTGGGTTCCTGGGGGGCTGGCACTGCTCTATTTCTGGCCCCCGCCGATGGCTACAATGGTCCGCATTCATAATTACTTGTCCTCAACATAAATACCGTGCGCTCTTCCGGGCCTCACTACACCGCACAGATCAGACGAGAGGGGAAAACAGACGTCCGACAAGAAGACAGAAATAAAAGGCCAAAAAGACTCAAAGTGAAATTATTACTCTGTCAAACCATCTCCTCAGCTCAGCTGTCAGTGTAAAGTGTGTGTTTCAGGGCGCCCGGAGAACTCTTAACATGCTCGTAACTTTTAGTTTCCAAAGTTTCAAAGAAACAAAAACGTCTAAAAAATCGGTAGAATCATCGTGGTTGATCCCAGTAGGCACCTGACCCTTAAGCGAAATCAAACATGAAAGTACGTTCTAGAGCAGGAGGAAGGCCCAGCCCCCGTCCGGCCTCAGGTCACCCCGCCCCGTGGGTGCAGGAGAAAAGCTCACAATGACCGCCTTGTCCGAAACCAGCGAACGGCAGGGCAAGGGGTCACCTATTGACTCCCTCACGAGGAGAAGGGGAGCCAGAGAAAAGGCGGCCCACGCACCCCCCGCCCGCCGCGTGTCTCCCGAGGGCCCTGCGGACTGTCATCCCCATGCTCGGCACCATCTCGGAGCTGCTGTGCCCCTGACACTCACCCGGACACAAAGCGTCGGCCACTGACAAATGTGTCTATCCCACCACGCTTTCCTTGGTGGTTTTTTTTTTTTAAAAAACGGCTTAAAGAAATTTCATAAAAACTTACTGTATTAAGCATTTTAAAATGAGAGAAAGAAAAGAGGAAAGTACCTTTTGTATTTTCTTAAGGAGGCAGTGAACAAAGTGGGTAAACACATGGGCCTTGGAGTCAGACAAACTTGGGTTTGAATCCTCCCCTTGGGCAAGTTACTTAACCTCTCTGAGCCTCAGTCTCCTCATCTGTAAAAGGGGAATAACAACAGTGCCTAACCTCACAGAGGTGGAGGAAGGGTGGGGCGAGGGTAACACAAGCGTGGAAGTACTCAGCACAGTGCCTGGCACCCATTCACCTGGCTCTGTGATTCCTAATGGACACAGCCTATGATGGGCCGGGCCCGAGGTCAGGGACTTCATAGACGTCAGTAACGAAACAGATTTGAACCCCCCCGCCCTTATGGCTACCTTCTAAAGGGAGCAACGGAAGATGAGCATAATAAATCAGCAGAGCACACAGCCTGTTGGAAAAGTCAAAATGCTAAGGGAAAGCCAGCGGGGGGAGGCTGCATTTAAAATAGGGCGAGTGGAGGAAGCTTTGTCAAGAAGCTAACATTTGAGGGGCGCCTGGGTGGCTTAGTTGGTTAAGCGTCTGACTTTTGCTTGGGTCATGATCTCGCGGTTCGTGGGTTCGAGCCCCGTGTCGGGCTCTGTGCTGACTGCCAGCTCAGAGCCTGGAGCCTGTTTCAGTCTGTGACTCCCTCTCTCTCTGACCCTCCCCTGTTCACGCTGTCTCTCTCTCTCTCTCCTAGAAATAAA